ATCAACATGTCGGTTCTCTGAACCATTCATCTACAATCCTGTCAGACACTGCAACTTCTTGGGATCTTAATACTTGGGAATTCTTCGCTTGCCTAATTCTTGGGCACGACCTACTTGGTTTAGAAAGACACGTAAGCAAACACTATAACATATTTATTAGAAAACGTTTCGGTCCTGGAACCTTGATCACTTCTAACATACAGAGGTAGAAAGACATTATATATACAGGCGGAGAGTGAGATGTGACGCACGTGACCTGAGGAATGTCATAAGAACATAAGAATGGAGGAACACTGTAGAAGGCCTACTGGCCCATGCGAGGCGAGGGTAGACGATTAAATCACGTGACTCCTGTGTTGTTGGGTTGGTACTGCTTAAGTATCATGTATGCCAATGTTTTTGAAATTTTGTAGTTTCCAGTGTTGCGTTCTATAGTGTCGGTGACGGTGATTAGTGAGGCTTCTAGGCACCGTCGGCGTCTGAGGTCTGGTTCGGTGAGAACGAGTTGTGCCTCGTTCCAGTTCATCAAATGCCCCGTGGAGTCTCTGTGGAGGACACAGGCGTACCTTACATCGTCTCTGTTAGAGGCATTTCGATGCTCATTCAGGCGGACTGCAAGATCTCTGCCTGTCTCGCCTACATATTTCTTGGGACAGAACCCACAGGGGATAGTGTAGACGCCTGTGGGTTCTGTCCCCTGTGGGTTCTGTCCCAAGAAATATGTAGGCGAGACAGGCAGAGATCTTGCAGTCCGCCTGAATGAGCATCGAAATGCCTCTAACAGAGACGATGTAAGGTACGCCTGTGTCCTCCACAGAGACTCCACGGGGCATTTGATGAACTGGAACGAGGCACAACTCGTTCTCACCGAACCAGACCTCAGACGCCGACGGTGCCTAGAAGCCTCACTAATCACCGTCACCGACACTATAGAACGCAACACTGGAAACTACAAAATTTCAAAAACATTGGCATACATGATACTTAAGCAGCACCAACCCAACAACACAGGAGTCACGTGATTTCATCGTCTACCCTCGCCTCGCATGGGCCAGTAGGCCTTCTACAGTGTTCCTCCATTCTTATGTTCTTATGACATTCCTCAGGTCACGTGCGTCACATCTCACTCTCCGCCTGTATATATAATGTCTTTCTACCTCTGTATGTTAGAAGTGATCAAGGTTCCAGGACCGAAACGTTTTCTAATAAATATGTTATAGTGTTTGCTTACGTGTCTTTCTAAACCAACTTGTCGGTATTTATTACCAAGGTTTATACCACGACCTACTTCCACATTGAACAAATGTGACACCACCTATGATGAGATTAAGACACATGTGCAACATCTGGGTATCTTTATTGTAGACGTTTCGCCATCCAGTGGCTTTATCAATACAAATTCTAGGACATAACTTGAAGACAGTAGAACTATGTACAGAAGATGAGGTAATCAGTCCCTCAACCTAGGAGTAGGTGCGAAGAGCACCATAGTCGTGGAGATTCTGAAGCAGAAGAAAGGAGCCTGGCGCTTACATAGTAACGTCAGGTGTAGCAGACGAGGGCATATTCACTGGTAGGCGGGATTCCCCAGTGGAAGTAGGTCCTTCCCAAAGAGATGGGTTAGTTGTAGTAGTAGTTGTCGTAGTCTTGAAGGTTTTGTACACCTATGACTGCTGCACCTCTCCTGCCAACGGTATATAAGCTCCTTCTCAGCACGTATGCCGTATTCTATTCAAGATTGATGGACTGACCACATCGACTCAAGGTTGAGGGACTGATTACCTCATTCTCCTCCTGTTCTTCAAGATTGTACTTCTGGTGCTTACACTTGATACAAATCCCAGTACAGTGGTACCTCGGTACACGAACTTAATTCGTTCCAGAAGGCTGTTCGAGTACCGATACCGAAGGAATTTGTTCTCATAAAGAATAATGTAAATTAGGTTAATCCATTTCAGACCCCCAAAATACACTGGCAAAAGCACTTACAAAATTACACTGTTCGTGTACCGAGGCACCACTGTAATCTATTTACCTCATTACATACGTGTAGGCAATGCTGTCTAGGTTTAAGGTTGCTACTTACCAGAACTCCCAAGTCCTTTTTGCAATCTGTATTGCTAAGTTCTACATTATTTAGCTTATAAGTGGTAAGGTTATGGACACTCCCGAGCTTCAGAACCTTGCATTTATCTACACTGAACTGTATCTGCCACTTTTCTGACCAGGTACTGAGTTTGTCTAAATACTCCTGAAGTTCCCTGACATCTACATCTGAATCAATATAAATGTTATGAAGAAAATACACACACACACACACACACACACACACACACACACACACACACACACACACACACACACACACACACACATACACACCATCATGGAAAAGAGTAAACAGTATATGTTATAATTACACGGTCTGTGTCTCACTCTCAGAGTGTCACCTACCTTTGACCTGGTTCTCTCCCGATGGTCCTGGTGTTGATTCCCCACTCTGAAACATCCAAAGAGAACTAATATTAGTATATTGTACTTTGTGTGTGTGTGTGTGTGTGTGTGTGTGTGTGTGTGTGTGTGTGTGTGTGTGTGTGTGTGTGTGTGTGTGTGTGTGTGTGTGTGTGTTGTGTGTGTGTGTGTGTTGTGTGTGTGTGTGTGTGTGTGTGTGTGTGTGTGTGTGTGTGTGTGTGTGTGTGTGTGTGTGTGTGTGTGTTGTTGTGTGTGTGTATTTTGTTGTGTGTGTGTGTGTTGTGTGTGTGTGTGTGTGTGTGGTGGTATGTGTATGTGTGTGGTTGTGTGTGTTTGTGTTGTGTGTGTGTGTGTGTGGTGGGGGTGTGTGTGTTAAGTAAAACACAATTAACCCCTAAATTCCCCCATCATACCAAATTCCAAAAACCCTATGATCAGGAAGCACCTGGGAATTAAGAAGCAATTTGGGCCCCTCCAAAGGAATCGACATCTCCATCCCTCGAAACAAATCCCTAAACCCCCCCTCCCCCCTGAAAATGCCAGGGGCGTAGTGGTGGTGGTTGCTTAGCAACGCCCAATCAATAAGGTGCCAGCCTGTGCTTTTAAGTCAATACTAACTCCTACTGAATTCCCTTCTTGGGACCTAACGTCCCCCCCGGCTTTTCCTTTTGATTTGTTATCCCCCACCCGATGAGGAGGGTGCTTTCCCGGACGAAATGTCGTTTGGTACAGTATAAACAAGGCAAAGTTTCCTCGTGTAGAGCTTTTCCCTGTTTCACTCTGTGTAGAGTTTATTAGTTTCACTCTGTTAGAGCTTTTTCATGTTTCACTCTGTGTGAGCTTTATCATGTTTCACTCTGTTAGAGATTTATCATGTTTTTTACTCTGTTAAAACTTTATTTGTTTCACTCTGTGTAGAGCTTTATCATGTTTTTAAATCTGTGTAGAGCTTTATGGCCCGGAAAAGCTTTTATGTTTCCTCTGTGCAAGCGTTATTTTTTTCACTCTGTGTAGAGTTTATTATGTTTCACTTGTGTAACTTTTTTGATGTTTCCACTGTGTAGAGCTTTATTATGTTTTCACTCTGTGTAGACTTTATCATGTTTTTACTCTGTGTAGGCTTTATAGCCCGTGTAGACTTTTTTTGTTTTTCTCTGTGTAGAGCTTTTTCATGTTTCACCTGTGTAGAGCTTTATATGTTTCCCCTCTGTGTAGAGCTTTTTTATTTTCACTCGTGTAGAGCTTTATGAGCACTCTGTGTAAGCTTTTTATTTTTCCCCTGTGTAAGGGTTTTTATGTTTCACTCGGTAGAGCTTTTTTATGTTCACTCGGTGAGCTTTTTGATGTTTCACTCTGTGTAGACTTTATCATGTTTCACTCGTGTAAGCTTTATTAATTTTACTCTTGTAGAGCTTTATGTGTTTCACTCTGTGTGGCTTATTTGTTTCACTTGGAACTTTATGATGTTTCCTTGTGTAGGCTTTATGATGTTTCACTCGTGTAAACTTTAGTTTCACTCGTTAAGGCTTTATTATGTTTTACTCTGTGTAGAGCTTTATTATGTTTTACACTGGTAGCTTAAAAGTTTCACTCTGTGTAGAGTTTTTTATGTTTACTCTGTGTAGAGCTTATCATGTTTCACTCTGTTAGGCTTTATTATATTTCACTCTTGTGAGCTTTATGATGTTTCACTCTGTGTAAGCTTTATATGTTTTACTCTGTGTAAGCTTTTCATGTTTCACTCTGGCAAACTTTATTATGTTTCACTCTGGTAAGCTTTTTCATGTTTCACCCTGTGTAGAGCTTTTCATGTTTCGCTCTGTGTAGACTTTATCATGTTTCACTCTGTGTAGAGCTTTTTCTTTTCACTCTGGTAGGCTTTACATGTTTCACTCTGTTAGAGCTTTATATCTTTCCTCGTGTAAGCTTTATTATGTTTCACTATGTGTAGAGGGTTTATATGTTTCACTCTATGTAACTTTACATTTTTCAAATCTTGTAAATTTATGTTTCATCTGGGGAGAGCTTGATGTTTCACCTGTGTAGGCTTTATGATGTTTCCTTGTGTAGGCTTTTTTTATGTTTCACTCTGTGAGGCTTTATCGTTTCACTCTGTGAGAGCTTTATCATGTTTTACTCTGTGTAGAGCTTTATGATGTTTCACTCTTGTAGAGCTTTTTAAAATTTTCCCCCTTTTGTAGGCTTTATTATGTTTCACTCTGTGAAGCTTTTCATGTTTCACTCGTGTAAGGGTTTATCATGTTTCCTCTGTGTAGACTTTTTCTGTTTCACTCTGGAGAGCTTTTTCATGTTTACTCTGTGAGGCTTATCATGTTTCACCTTGTAGAGCTTTATATGTTTCATCTGGTAGGGCTTATTATATTTCATCTGTGTAGAGCTTTACTGTTTACTCTGTTGAGCTTTTTTTATGTTTCACTCTTGTAGAGCTTTTCATGTTCATCTGTTAGGCTTTATCATGTTTTTATTGTGTAGGCTTTTTTTATGTTTCACTCTGTGTAAGTTTATGAGTTTCCTCGTGTTTAGCTTTATGGTTTCACTTGGTAGAGCTTTTTGATTTTCACTCTGTGTGAGCTTATATGTTTCGTTGTGTAGACTTTCATGTTTCACTCTGGTAGGCTTTATCATGTTTCATCTGTGTGGCTTTACATGTTTACTCTGTGAGAGCTTTAGATTTTCCTTGTGTGAGCTTTATTATGTTTCACTATGTTAGAGCTTTATGATGTTTCACTCTATGTAGAGCTTTATCAGTTTCACTCTGTTAGAGTTTGATGTTTCACTCTGTGAGAGCTTGATGTTTCACTCTTTAGAGCTTTATGAGTTTCACTCTGGGTTTTAAACTTTATTTTGTTTCACTCTGGTAGAGCTTTATATGTTTTACTCTGTGTAGAGCTTTATCATGTTTTTCTCTGTGTAAGCTTTATGATTTTCCCCTGTGTAAACTTTATTGTTTTACTTTGTGTAGAGCTTTATTTTTTTCACTCTGTGTAGAGCTTTATCATGTTTCATCTTGAGAGCTTTATCGTTTTACTCTTTAGAGTTTGTCATGTTTCATCTGTGTGAAATTTATCATGTTTCATCTGTTAGAGCTTTTTCTTTTCACTCTGTTAGAGCTTTATCATGTTTTTCCCCGTGGGGGCTTTTTATGTTTCACTCTGTGTAGACTTTATCATGTTTCACTCTGTGTAGAGCTTTATTAGTTTCACTCTGTGTAGGCTTTACTGTTTCATCTGTGTAATTTTTGATGTTTCACTTGTGAGAGCTTTTTTGTTTCACTATTGTAGAGCTTTATGATGTTTCATCATGTAGAGCTTTACATGTTTTACTCTGTGGAGTTTTATGTTTACTCGTGTAAACTTTATGTTTCACTCGTGTGGCTTTATGATGTTTCACTCTGTGTAAGCTTTATTATGTTTCATCTGTGTAACTTTTATGTTTCACTCTGTGTAGAGCTTTATCAGTTTTATCTGTGTGACTTTATATGTTTCACTCTGTTAAGGGTTTATCATGTTTCACTCTGGTAGAGCTTTATTATGTTTCACTCTGTGTAGAGCTTTTTCAGTTTCACTCTGTGTAAGCTTTATCTGTTTTATCTGTGTAGACTTTGTCATGTTTCATCGTGAAGCTTTATCATGTTTCACTCGTGTAGAGCTTTTTTCATGTTTACTCTGTGTAAGCTTTATCATGTTTTCCCTCTGTGTAGGGCTTTATTATATTTCACTCTGTGTAAGTTTTCATGTTTCACTTGTGTAGGCTTTATTATGTTTTACCTGTGTAAGCTTTATCATGTTTTACTCTGTTGGGTTTAATGTTTTATCTGTGTAGACTTTATTATGTTTTTCCCCCCTGTTAGACTTTATATGTTTTACTCTGTGTAAGCTTTTTGATGTTTCACTCTGGTGACTTTATGATGTTTACTTGTGTAGGCTTTTTGTGTTTTTACTCTGTGTAGACTTATCATGTTTCATCTGTGTAGGCTTTATCAGTTTCCTCGTGTAGAGCTTTATGATGTTTCCCTCTGTGTAGAGCTTTATTATGTTTCACTCTGTGTAGAGTTTATCATTTTTCATCTGTGTAGAGCTTTATAATGTTTCACCTGTGTAAGTTTTTTCATGTTTCACTCTGTGTAGGCTTTTCATGTTTCACTCTGTGTAAGCTTTATCATTTTCACTCTGTGTAAGCTTATATGTTTACTCTGTGAGGGCTTTATTATATTTCACTCTGTGTAAGCTTTATCTTTTACTCGTGTAAGCTTATAGTTTTACTCTGTGTAAGCTTTATCAGTTTCACTCTGTGTAGAGCTTTTTCATGTTTTTACTCTGGTAGAGCTTTATTATGTTTCACTCTGTGTAGAGCTTTATGATGTTTCACTCTGTGTAGAGCTTTTGATTTTCACTCTGTGTGGCTTTATCATGTTTCACCTTTTGTAGAGCTTTTTATGTTTTACTTTGGAAGCTTTATCATGTTTCACTTGTGTAGGGCTTTATCATGTTTCACTCTGTGTAGAGCTTTGATGTTTCACTCTGTGTAAGCTTATCTGTTTCACTCTGTGTTTAAACTTTATCATGTTTTTACCTGTGTAGAGCTTTATATGTTTACTTGTGTAAGCTTTATCTGTTTCACTCTGTGTAGATTTATCAGTTTTATCTGTGTAGGCTTTATTATGTTTTTACTCTGTGTAAGCTTTATCATGTTTCACTCTGTGTAGGCTTTTGATGTTTTACTTGTGTAGAGTTTATTTGTTTCACATGTGTAAGCTTTATATGTTTCACTCTATGTAGGGCTTTTATGTTTCATCTGTGTAGAGTTTGAGTTTCACTCTGTGTGAGCTTATGTTTCACTCTGTTAGAGCTTTATGATTTTTCCCCTGTGTAAACTTTATTATGTTTCACCGTGTAGGCTTTATTATTTTCACTCTGTGTAGAGCTTTACATGTTTTCACTTGTGTAGACTTTATTATGTTTTTCCCTTTTGTAGACTTTTTCATGTTTTACTCTGTGTAGAGCTTTT